GACATTAAAGGGGAAACGACGATCACAACAAGTTGGAATGCAGAAATGACTAACATCATACAATAAAAAATCAGCAAATACATGAAAAGTCATGGAGCAAGCACAATGGAATCGGCAGGATGCATGGGCTACTCTAGCCCTGTAAGTAAACAGTCTAACTGCTACTTTTTACACACCTCAGATGATATAAGTACATGGATAATCGATACAGGTGCAACATCACATATATGTCATGATTTTAGCCTGCTTACTAAAATCACTAAACTAAAACCCGCAGTACTTGTTTCTTTACCCGATGGAACCCTGAGCACTCAACATGTAAAGGTACCATAAATCTATACAATGACCTAACCCTAAATGATGTTCTTTACATACCAAAATTTACATGTAACTTGATCTCTGTCAGAAAATTGACTCAAGCCTTAAATATCTACGTTTCTTTCTATCCAAACCATTGTTTTGTGCAGGATTTGATGACTAACAGAAAATTAAAGAATTGTAGAACAAAGGGAGGCCTGTACACCCTGAGTAAAGATATAGAACCAGAAAAGGCATGCACCAGCCACACCCCACAACTTTGACATAAAAGACTCAGCCACACATCAATGAACAAGCTACTTCATATTCCCATCCTGAATTTTTCAAACAAAATGGATTCACATGTTTGTGAAATATGTCCCTTAGCAAAATAACAACGTTTACCTTTTTCGAAGAATAGTATTACTACCAATGATGTTTTTGAATTAATACATGTTGATCTTTGGGGTCCTTATTCAATTCAATCTATTTCAGGAGTCTCTTATGTCTTAACTATGTTGAATGATTTTTCTAGGACAACTTGGACCTTTTTGTTAAAAGAAAAATCAAATGTTTCAAATATTTTAAAATAGTTTTACAATTTTGTGTCAAATCAGTTTAAAAAAACCATTAAAATTGTTAGAACTGATAATGGTACTGAATTTGTGAATAAATCATGCAAAGACTTTTTCCAAAAAAGAGACATTGTGCATCACAGTACTTGTGCTTACATGCCACAGCAAAATGGTGTGGTAGAAATGAAGCATAAGCATATTTTATAAGTTGCTAAAGCACTAATGTTTGAGTCAAATTTGCCAAAAGTTTTTTGGAGAGAATCCATTCTTATGGCTACATATATAATAAATATTTTGCCAAGCTCACTTTTAAAATGGAAAAACCCCTATGAAATCTTACATAAAAAACAACCAGATTATTCTATTTTAAAAACATTTAGTTGTTTGTGTTTTGCTACAAATATACACCCTCAAAAGATAAAGTTCGATGTACAAGCTTTAAAATATATTTTTTTGGGGTATGAAGTCAGTGCCAAAGCATACAAATTATATGACATTTCAAACAAAAAATTATTCACGTCAAGGGATGTTATATTTCATGAACATGTTTACTCATATCAATCACAATCACCGCAAACCAATCATCAAGATACACCATTACCGATACCCAATATAATCATATCAGACACCAATGAAGACCAACCACATAACTGAAAATAAGTTACCTTACCTAAACCTAGAATTCAAGAACCAGAAATTCGAAGGATTACCAGGGTGAGGGTCAGCCTTCCTGGATGGAGGATTTTATGGCACACATGACTGAAACACCATCCCCAAACTCCTTTTTTTTATGTCAAACCCACCTGTATACAGGTATGACTATGTCAATTTTGTTGCACATGTCTCGATTACACAAGAACTAAAATCATATGAGGTTGTTAAGAAAGACAGTAGGTGGATTGAAGTTATGCAAGCCGAACTAGCTGCGCTAGAAAAAAATAAAACGTGGGAACTAACCTTGCTGCCTGAAGGAAAAAAGGTAATTGACTCAAAATGGGTGTATAAAATCAAACACAACCCACATGGAATTGTAGACAAATACAAGGCGAGGCTCATCGCCAAGGGGCTGCAGCCAAGAATTTGGAATCGACCACCACGATAATTTTTCACCGGTAGTCAAAATGATAATTGTCCGATTACTTCTTGCCATAGCGGCTGCAAATAGTTGGTCTATCCATCAATTAGACATAAATAATGCATATCTACATGGCTACATAGAGGAAGAACTATACCTAAAACCTCTAAAGAGCTACACTAAAGCAAGCAAAGGACAAGTCTGTCGCTTAACTAGAAGTCTATACGGGCTAAAGCAAGCTGGATGCCAATGGAATAAAGAGCTCACTTCAAAACTTCATTCCACTAGGTTTACCAAATCTGAAACAGACCATTGTTTATCTACAAAAGGAAGTAAAGAAAATTACCTTGCAATAGTCGTTTATATCGATGACTTACTTATCACAGGGCAAGATAAGAAAGAAATCAGCGAAATCAAAAGAGTGCTGAATGAGGCATTTAAGGTGAAAGATCTGGGACAAACACGATACTTCCTCGATGTTGAAATAGCTAGGTCAAAAGGAGAAATTTACGTCAGCCAAAGAAAATATATTAAAGACATACTACAGATACATGCATGCAAGAGGCAAAAGGAAGTCATTTCCCTTTACCAACAGGGTTGAAATTAAACACGGAATAGGGTAAAATTTTACCGAACCCAGAAAAATACAGACACTTGATCAGAAGCTACTTTATCTCAACTTCAGCAGACCGGACATCTCCTACTCCACTCAATACTTGAGCCAATTCATGCAATAACCCAGGAAGCCGCATTTAGATGCTGTACTTCATCTTGTCATATACTTAAAACATTACCCAGAGCAAGGCTTGTATTTTTCAATGGACAACAACTACAAGATTCGAACTTTTTGTGACTCGGACTAGGCATCATGCCCGATGACTCGTAAATCCACCATGGGTTTTGGTGTTTTCCTCAGGCCATTGATGATATCCTGGAAAATAAGAAAACAAACGATAGTCAGCAAATCATCTGCATAAGCTAAATATAGAAGTATGTCTTCAACTGTGTGCGAGCTACAATGGATTACCTATCTACTCAAGGACTTCATAGTCACGCCTTCTTTGCCTATCATATTACACTATGATAATAAAGTCGCAGAACACATCGCGGCAAACCCTGTGTTTCACGAAAGAACAAAACACCCCATATAGATTGTGATATTGTTCGCAACAAAGTCTTAAGTGGTTTTATCAAAACAAAGCATGTTACCTCGAAAGAGCAACTCGCATACCTACTCACAAAACCACTAGGCACAACAGCCCACCATCATCTTCTTTTCAAGATGAGACACTTCTAAGGCGAATTCAAACATGGATCGATTTGAAGAGAACGGGAGTTCAGAGAAATAGAACTACGAGCGTGTTTCACCTTGAGGAGCGGCTTTAAAAGATTGAAAAGTTTCTTGGTAGGGTTTTGAAGGATATGAACGATCGAGATCAAAAGCAGAAAATGAAGGGCCAGATGAAGAGCACACTAGGATTCAAGACAAATGGACAGTGAAAATTAAAAGATGTCATCTGTTAAGAACAGCTGTAAAAAGTAGGTTTTGCAATTTTTTTTTGTTTTTGAGTTGTTGAGTATTTGTTAGGGTTTGCTTGTCTTTCCTCGATCAGAGCATTCCTCCTTCTCTGTATATATATAAATGCACATTTGTACACAATAAAAACATATGAAAATATTATAAATTTTTTTTTTTACTATATTTACAATTATGAATCATGCCCCAAAAGTTAATAGGTAGGAAAAAGATTGTAGAGGAAAATCTATATGAATTGAGATTTTGAAGGCTTAATTGGTTGGTGAATGTAGACATGTAAATATATATCCTACAATTAATACATAAAATTTATTTTCCAAATTTTCTAGTGTATAAAGCGTTTTAATAATAAGGACTGTTTATAGGGAAAACAGATTCTTTTTGTATGTGTGTGTGTGTGTGTGTGTGTATATATTCATAAATAACTATAATCTATATATGCCACTAGGCCTATAGAAAGTCAAATTTATTTTCTTCACTATCGCCTCTTTTCATTTGTTAAGGCTTATCAATTTGATAATTTTACATATTTTTTCCGATAGAAAATATATTGTGGATTGTCAAATTGAGTAAAATTTACTTTTCTAGGATTAAATTTAGCATCTAATTTTTTTTTTTTAAAAAAAAAAAGAAACAACAAATCTCAATAAGTAAATGGTAATTATATATATATATATATATATATATTTAAGTTCAAAGTCAAACTGGTTCCCTTTGTCTTTAATAGGATATGGAGAAATATTTATTATCAACGTGCAAAAATCATATAAAATATTTTGATTGCTAAATATAGAGAAAATATATGTAATTATTATTAGTGAAACTAAATCGATCCAACATATAAAATTCGATTTACATATTTTTAAAATGGTCTTTGTAAATCTAATAATAAACTACACTATAATTAAGATATAACTTATTTACTTCTTAGTCACACTAAACATTAAAATGGCATTTAATCATTCACAATTAAAATCATACCATAAAGTAGGAATTTCTACTATTTAATGAGTTGATCTTTCCTTGTTTACCGAAAACTTTACAATAATTTCTTAATCTCCTTAATTTTAATTTTTTCAATATCTAAAATTTATTTTTATTTTTTAGAAAAGAGTAGCAAATATATATATATATAATTTAAATTACAAAAAATTGAATTATAATTAAATCAAAACACACAAAAATAAAGTTGTAATTAATGTAATCGTAATATTTTATTATAAATAAATTCAATAGTAAGTTATTCACTTATAAATAAGAAAAATAAAAATAAAAATACGAGAAATTCATTAAACTGGAATCACCGGACTTTATGTGTGTGACCGTATATACTTTTAAAAAGATAATTTAGAAAAATTCCAAAATTAGACCCGGCTGGGTCACGTGTTAATGAGGGTTAAATTCGTCATTTTAAATATAATTTTTTTGCCTTTTCGAATTTGAGAGGCGAAAATAAAAAGACCGCCTCCCTTTCCTTCTCTTCTCCGCGCCTTAGTTATGTCCATTGAAACAGAATTACAGAACCATTTTCCTCTCACACTCCCTATCAAACCAAAAATTACTCCGTCAAGACAAAAACTAATTCTGCTTTCCTCTACAGAATGAAGGATTTGAAAATGGAGAGTTACAGTGGAGTTTCAGTGTTTATGTTCTCTTTGCTCTTTGCGGTATCGATCGTGGTGGTTATGGCGCTCTGTAGCGACCGTAGTATTTCACTCATAGATTTCTCTGTTTTCAGTTTAAATAACATTATCTCGACGGACGAGTTGCACAGAACTGTTTCTTCATCTGATCAGATTTTTTCTGTTGATGCTGGCGGGTCGATCTCTTATAATTCTTTCACGAACCAAACCAGAAACACGACACTAGTAGTAAGTTGAATTCTCCCTTTCTCTCTGATAGTATATCTGTTTTCTGTTTAATAACTATGTTTCGACGGAAGCGTCGCAGAGAAGTGCTTTGTCATCTGACGATATCAGGGCCGCTGATACAACGATCATAATAACTTGAATTCTCGCCTTCTCTCTCACCATAAATCTCTCTGTTTTAATCATAGAAATCGATACATAAAACAGTGAAATAGATATATCGATTCAGTGTTTGTATTGAAAGGCAAGGAATGATGGACAGATCGGAGATTCATGGAGAGAAAGATCAGTTGTTGATATGAATTATATGTAGTTGACTTTCAAATTTTTGTAACAAGAATTTCCTATTCCCGCTGACTCATATGATTTTCATTCCCACTGCCCCTTAATATATTCTGATTTTGTTCGGGACCGTCAAAACAACAATATCCAAATTTGCTTACTCTCTCTGCCTCTCTCAAGAGAGGTTTGGCATTTCTCTTTCATATTAATAACGCCCGGGTAATGGACGTGTTAATGTTACAGAGGAAAATCAAGAGGCTAGGCAGAGAACAAGCGCTAGAAAGAGGATTAGCGAGAGCACGTGCTTCAATTCTCAACGCCGTTTTGTCTCGAAACGTCTCTGTTACCACAAGGAACGACGGAGATATTCCTGCCGGAGAAGTGTATCGTAACCCCACCGCCTTTTATCAGTAAGATTTATTACCTTTTCTCGTCTTATTTCTAAGATTTATTACCTTTTCTCGTCTTATTTCCTTTTATTGAATAAACGAAAATTAAAATGGAAAAAAAATAATAATCTGCTTATTTAAGTGCCCGTAGCAGCTTTTTAAACTGCTTCACTTCTAAGGTACAACTAAACATCAAAATGTAGATACCTGATAATCATTTCTCTCAGTGTGTATGTGTGTGTATAATATATTTTGTATGTGTAATAGGAAACATTCTTTTAATTGACGCCAACAGTGAGTAAAGAGTGCGCGCACTCAAGACTCATTCCCTTTTTCAGAGTTCATATATGAGCCACCGGTGTATATCATCATGACGATTTAAAAAGCGGCGTCGGCATACTTATATATTTCGATGGAGGTCAATGCATTTGGTGTATTCTTTCTCTGGCTTTTCTTTTGAAAAGAGTTGCACGCTTTCTAGTGGAAATAAAATGAAGTTAGTCATGGCTAGTTATTACTTGTCTTGGGTTAGAAATCATGCGGTGGTGAGACCACCACAATCAAAAACTTGCTCCACCCAATTAGATTTCATCATGTTGCAATTTGCAAAACCATCATAGAGATCTAACTCTTTTTTTTAAGATTAAGAACGAAAACTAGTAGATGATCGTGTTATTAAAATTCCATTAAGATCCTACGCAATAATCTAGGACCAAGTCTTACAGTGATAGACTTTAATTTTAATGTCGCTCATCGGATCAGTCAGATCCGCATTAATATTGGGCGGCTTTCTGAACAAGGGCGTAATTTTTACCATAGCATGCTTAGGATACAGGTCTGGTTGTTAGTGACAGATAACAGATTGAGGTACAAAATAGTCACTCAACCTATCAAATTTTAACTACTAGCAACAAAGCCCATCTTATTTTCCAAAAAAAAAAAAAAATTATATTAACTAGTAGATATATATTTTAGTAAATGTACACAAAAGAAGTGGGAGAAACTTTACTCGTGTATAAAATGCGCAGTGCCTAAAATACACGTTTAAGCAGTTATATATTCCATGTGACTAGAAATTATTTTGTGTAACAAATAGGGAGATGCAAAATTATTTTTTTCAATAGTTTTATAGATATTAATTTTAGTTTGATTAAAAAAATTATCAGGTGATATTTATACTACTTATTAATAAAAATATAATATCAAATTAATGTATAACTATTTTTGCAAAATAACTTTTGGCGCGAGATGTTTAATGACAAGTTTATGGTACATGGTATTATAAAATTTCAGGAGTTATTTGGAAATGGAGAAGATATTCAAGGTTTATATCTATACAGAAGGGGAGCTCCCGATCGTCCACGACGGACCCTGCAAGGATTTGTACACAACAGAAGGGAGGTTCATACAAGAGATGGAGCACGGATCCGGCACTAGCAGGTTCAGGACCAAGAATCCCTACGCCGCTCACGTTTACTTCATGCCCTTCAGCGTGGCGTGGATGGTCAAGTATATATACAGGCCAACCAGTTTTGATATCAAACCGCTGAAACAGTTCGTGTCCGATTATGTGAAAGTAGTATCCACCAAATATCCTTTTTGGAATAGAACTAATGGAGCTGACCACTTCATGCTTGCCTGTCATGATTGGGTGAGTTGCCCTCTTCTCTACTCTTTTTCCTCGTTTTGTTTCTTTTGTGCTAAAGCATCAATTTGCTGTTGGGATTAAAACGAAAACTACAAATTGTTAGGGGTTGAAAAACAAACTACCTAGTTGGAGGGATATATTAGAAATTTACCGAAAGTAATATCAATCTTCCATTTGATAAAAACAGGATGCTTAGTTCCAAGGATACATGTCCTATTTATAGCCAATTCTAACCGACTTGAAAAAAGAGAATTTTCAGCACCATGCTTACCACCTTAAGACAACTAATTTCAAATCAACCCCCTAATGAAAAGAAAATTAATTAAATATTCTAACATTTGTCATACCCTTCTTTTCTTTGGAATCTGTGGCTGGCATTCGTGGAAAATTAGAAGTGTTTCACTGGTTAGAATATCCATAAATATGTTCTATACCGTTTATCTCAGTCAAAAAGGTTTCAAGTGGTTTAACTCATCTTCAAAAAAATTCAAATGAACCAATAATACCAAAACCTAACTATAATTACTCGGCACTCATTTTGCATTAACAATAAAGAGGAGTCTTAGAGGTTCCTACTACACCTAGATTTTCATTATCAAAGTATAACAATTGAAACAGCATAAGAGGATCATTGGGTATGGTTTCTTACGGCCATGAAAAAAAAATGAACTGTCTCTTCGTTTTCGGACGTGTATGTATAAGAAACGCGAAACTTAAAAGATTACTTTGTCTTATTCCAGGGACCTCACACATCAAAGGCAAACCCATTCCTCTACAACACATCAATCCGAGTCCTGTGCAACGCCAACACATCCGAGGGCTTCAACCCAAGAAAAGATGTGTCCCTCCCCGAAATAAGCCTCTATGGAGGTGAATTAGTGGAGAAACTCCGCTCTCCGCCACCGTTGAATGCCCCACGACCGCACCTTGGCTTTTTTGCAGGCGGACTTCACGGCCCAGTCCGCCCCATCCTCCTCCAACACTGGAAAGGCCGAGATAACGATATGCTTGTTTACGAATACCTTCCCAAAGACCAAAACTACTATTCACTCATGCTCCAGTCCAGGTTCTGTCTTTGCCCTAGTGGGTATGAAGTGGCCAGTCCTCGAGTTGTTGAGGCAATATTCTCGGATTGTGTGCCCGTAATTCTATCGGTGAATTATGTTTTACCATTTAGTGATGTCTTGAAGTGGGAAGCTTTTTCGGTACAGGTTGACGTATCAGAGATTCCAAGGTTGAAAGAAATCCTATTGGCAGTTCCTGAAGAGAAGTACAGAAGGCTTAAAGCAAACTTGAGACTTGTCAGGAGACATTTTGAGCTGAACCAGCCGGCTAAGAGATTCGATTTGTTTCATATGATATTACACTCGGTTTGGCTGAGAAGAATCAACACAAGACTTCTTGCATCTCTATAGATACTTAGTGCTATACATAATACAAGCCCGTGTTTTTTTTATTTTTTCCCCCCTTTTAACTCTTTTCCAATGATATATAGCGTGTTGATTGATAAAGTTTGTGCTTTCTAGCAGTGTAATTGTGTAAGAGATAATCAAGATTTGGAAATATACGCAGAGATTTCAGAAACTAGGCAAAAGACAGGAACAGAAGCTGCTCTTAACAGGTAAACAGATATCCTAAATGATAGAATCATGAGAAATCATATCTGTTTATTTACATTGAATTGCAACCTCAATTAATCTTGTTTACACACAAGCCGAGCTTATTTACACACCTCTAGGAACTTACCTGCCTATGCTATTCACCCTAATTAATTCATCATTTGATTGGAATGAAGTTGTGGGAGAAGCGTTCTATTTGAGATTTCAGCATCCCTCCGAGAGAGAAACGGGACCGTTCTGGCGACGAGCTTGGTTGTGTGCTGCTGTAATTGATAAAATCATTCTTGACTGCAACTTGTATTGGTTCTCCCATCTCTCTCTTCACTGACTCAACAAACTCCATGTCGATTTTATTCCCTGAAATGTCTCGTAAGTAGAAAGTATTCACTGCTTTCTCTCCCTGCGTTGCCACATCTGCACGAACAACTGTAAGGCCGTTCTCTCGTAGAACCCGAGTTATGTCCGAGAGCAGACCTACTCTATTTTCTGCGCGTAACTCTAGCCTCACCCCCTGCAATTAACCATTAAATTCATTTTCCCATTAATTTATACACTTAAGAAGACTGTCTTGTATGGGCGACGTCGTTTAATGTGAATGCACATAGAAATCTCACCTCGCAGACCCGACGTTCTATTGCAGCCTCTAAGCATTTTGTTACTCTTTCTTTCTCGCTCTCTGTGTATAATGCGCACCCATTCATATGTCGGATAAAGTATTCCTGGAAATTTAAACAAAACCCTGATAAATCATTATGCCAATTCAAAGAAATACGTTATTTTATTCCTTTAATTATTAAGAAATTAAATCAAACTGATATAAGTACCTGGAAAGCATAATCTCCATGGGAATGAACAGAGGCATGAAAAATAACGTATTGCATGTCAATTAACGTGCATACTGTATCGAACATAAGCCTGAGTCGATCCTTGCACTCCACGTTCACAATCGAATACCTTCTCTCCTCGCAATTATCAATAGACACCACTGTGCTATTCCTCGCCTCCTGATCCTTACACGCTGCCACCGCTGCGGCCTTTGATGACCTTGATTTAGTGGGTTCACACGGCCCGTCAAAATCCCTAACGGAGAGCATCAGCTGGTGCAACCGTCTCTCTACGTTGCTCACGACGTTAGCGTGACTGCCGTCAACCGGCGCGTGGAACTCTGTTGTCTTCATCTCGTCAGGGTTGACATGGATTCCGCTTGATAAGTCATCCGTTGTGGTGGCGCGTAGGACGGTTGTCAGATGGTCCTCGATGGAGGCGAGGCGGTGGGGGTCGTCAATTGGCGTGTGGGTGGACTGGTCGGAGATGTAAGCGACGCACGCTAGGCGCGCGTTGTGGCTCCACGCGTGGGCTTCGACGACGTTGCAGTGGAGGTCCGCCAGAGCCGCGGATATCTCGGAGAAGAGACCGGGACGGTCCGTTCCAGTCATCTCTATTGCGGTGGCCTCTGTGGGGTCACGTTGGTCGAAGGATGAAGATGATGATAATGATGAGGACGAGGATGGTGATGACGATAAATCGACGTCGTTTTGGGTGTAAATCTTGGCCTTCGGCGAGTTTGGTATGTCCCTAGTTGAACCAATCGCCTGCATATACGTATAGTCTGAGTTTCTTCTTATAGTGCCATATATTTGCGTGCATATATACAATGTACATATATATAAGATTAAGAATCACGAAATATTAAAAAAGTTTCAGGTTGAACAAATTATTACCTGCTGGATATAGTTGATAATGTTTGGATCTTTAAGTTTGTTGCCATGCTCATCTTTGACATGGAAAACTACAAATTAATTGAACGCATAGATTCATTATGTATGTACATGTGATAATAATATATATACACGTTAACATCGATGAGAGTATATATATATATAGTTTTTTTTTTAGTATGACTGAAATCCGATACCATCCATGAACCATCCCCCATCGGAGGAAATGTAGCCTTTGGAAATAAAAAGGTTGACGTCCGTCAAAATTTGCACCACTTCCAGGAGGAGGCCCTGCTTCTTCACGCTATTAACCTGCACCCTCATTTCACACCATTGATTCTCCCCATCAATTATTCCATCATATTTGATCAGACGGTATAAAAACTCTTATCATATATATGTGTACCTTGACAATGGTGCAGTCCTCCAAAGTTTCATTGTCAATACAAACTCTACAGCTGCAAGGGAGAAGAAGAAGAAGAAGCTTCGCGTCATATGATCAGACGACTGAGATTTTCTCCGTTGTGTAACGATCATGATCAAGAATTGAGATTGTAGGGACGTGAGACACACAGGATCAAAAGGCTTGAAAAGTGTACTTACATGGGACCGTATATCCTCTCTGGAAGATTGGCAAACTCAGGATCGAAGTATGGCCAACAAACTTTCTTCATGCTGCCAATTATATATATATATATAAGTATATATGCCCGACCAAATGGAGAGAAATGGTCAAAAACTGATCGATCCAGAAAATTTAAGGCCTAGCTATCTACGTTTTTTTCATCATTTAAACGCCACAAACACACACACGTATGGTATACAAATCTGAGGAAGAAAAGAACGCCATACTATATAGATGTATAGTTACCATAATCAAATTTTCCCCAAACAGATTGAATATCCATCCTATTTTTTTTATAATTAATTAATGGATTCATATACATAAAAATAATTTATAAATCACAGAGTTCACCTGCCAAACGAACTTGATTAGTTCATATGGCAGGATCCCTTCTCATGTATGCATCCAACAAAAATACGAAGAAGAAGAAATTTAAATTAAAAAATGAAGAATATTTAAAGGAAAAATAGGTGAATGTCAAGTTCAGAAATTAATTAACAAACTTAATCTAATCAAGAACAACTTACACAGGCTTTTTTTTTTTTTTTTTTTTTACATAAACCCAGCTCAGAAACAACCTTGCAATGCCTAGAAGAGATATCTCCTCAGAATTCGCCTTGAGATTTTAGAAATTTAGAGGAGGAGAAACTAAATTATATATACATATAATAATTATATATTATATGTACATATATTGTTTGCCGAAAAACAAAATGCTGTTAGGTTAGCATATTCCATTATTACCGTCTGTCAATATATATATATATATATATATGTATATAACATGGAGATTTGAAAGAGAGAGAGAGAGTAGTGACTTGGTATTTGTGGATTAGGAGAGCATGAGATTTGAAAGCTTAAAATAGAAAGTAAGAATGTATGGAAGAAATTGATTTGGGAAAAAATGAAAGAAGGGTGTAAGAAAGGAGAGGAGGGGACGCAGGAAAGTCAAATAACATTTATCGGCTATGATGGGTTGAATTTTATTGTTATTAAATTATTTTGACCTTTCTTCTTCTTCTTCTCACTTCCTTTTTTTTTTCTCTCCTAACCCACATGTCTCCTTAAACAACGAAAGAAGAACTAAAATTCGCCTAACAGGTAATGACCAAGTTGGGTTTGTACGTTATGCATTTATGGTGTAAATTATACACTAAATCAAACAATAAGTTTAAGGGGTTGTAATGATTAAGTTGATTTAAGTTTTACAGAGTTTATATCTTATTGTTGTGAGAAAGAAAATTAGTAATGATTAAATTTTTTTAATTAAAATAATTATAATAAGTTTAAAATACAATATGATTCTTTTTTTTTTTTTTTAATTTTATATTTCACATCCAACTTTGAAGCTGAATTTTCATATCATGAGTTTTAACATTTGTATATAGATTGTTATTTATAACAAAATAGTATTTATTTATGAGTAAGAGATTTTTTTTTTTATAGAAAAAAACATCATAGACTAATATTTAATTGGCCATCAAAAAGATTAATGATCATACCTTAGACACTCTTTATTTAACTACACTTTTTTCTAATGTTTTCCGTTGCACTTCAGATTGAAAAGATCTTAATTCATATGTACACTCAATCCTTCTAAAGTGTATGTATGTGTATATATTTACAATCAATTCGATAATTTTTATTTTTAATTAATTTTGAGAAGAAATACCTCGCAAAAGATTGTATAAACCGGTCTTGCTCATACGAGAAATATGGTCCTTTAGAAATCCTCTTATTTTTAGTTTTAATTATTTTTATATTAATTTAATAAATTTTTTAACTTAATAAATTTTCTAAAAATAAAAACAATTTCGATGCGCAAAACTATTGTGATTATGTATTAAAATTTTAATAGGAAAACAAAAAATAAATAGAGATATGATTTGAATTGAATCAAACCCACCTAGTTCTCTGTTTGATTTCCATTTTTCATGCTTTATGTGTCATACCAAACTTGGTCCTGTAATTTTGATGTAATATCATTGAGCCTGTTAGTATGCATATTCCAAAACGTGTGACTAAAAATATTTGGCCATTCGGTCACGCTACGCTGGTAACACAATTTTGATTAGGAAAAATATAATGATGATTACAAGGGGAGTCATTATTATTATCATTACGATGCATAGTCCTGATGTGCCAACCAAATTTTTTCTTCCACCAGAAGGAATTTCCAAATTTCTAGAGGGTCATATCTTTTCACTTTTGGTAGTTTGATTTTTATTGGATCAAAATTTGTCAACTCTTTTTAATCTAGCATTTAACTTTTTGTCATTTTATATGAAATTACTAAGCTATTATCTTACATTTATAACTTATTTAGCTTTGAAATTTACATGTTCAGAGTTACTAGAAAACTAAGTGGGTTTTGGGCAAGATAGCAAAACATCCAAATTCCAATAACTGAAGTATCACAAACAATTTGAAGTTTAATTGGAGCCAGACCTAACTAAACACAAGATTTAAATTGCGGTGGTAAACCAATATGGATTTGTTGGTTCATTCCTGTCGGACACGATGTAATAAATTACGCTCCAATAACACTTCCCAGAGGGAGGCCACAACCAGGAGACTGACTTCTAATTATGATGCTACCCACCGGCCAATGATTATTACAATCTGACATCTCTATAATTTATATGGCAATCTCTTTTCTCGGTTTGCCCATGGAATTGAAGAACAAGACGAATAATATTAACTTGTTTTTTTGGCACATTTCAAGGTAACATCATTCTGTTTCATGTGAAATGCTTCGACCACCACAAGGACTTGATGTAGAGGGTCTTCTTCCAATTATTTGGAAAACTTGTTCTGTGCCTCTTTAAGAAATATTTCATAGTACTTAAATCATTTTAATACTATTAAACAATCATAATAGATTTTTACTCCCTCATCCAGACAGGGAACGTAAGGAAATAGAATATTATAAGAAAAGATGGGACAAGACCATTCACAAAACTTTCTAAAAAGGCCTATAATTAACTTTTAAAGAAAAAGAAGCAAATAGGTATGGCATTTCTAACTGTTAGTTCCATTGGATGCAGCATTCGTTCTTCACAATGATTCAATCTAATACTATTACCCTGCTGCTCATCCATATCTTCTTCACTTATTCCTCTCTTCTCCAACAGTCCTACCAGTCCAAATGCCAAGAAAGAGATAAAAAAAAAAATACTCAGAAAAAGCAGACCATCCCTTCATATTGAGATGTCACCCCAGCTCTTCTATTTTACGTCAACAAATGGAAAGAAACTTTACTCTCTTGGAATTTTTTTCAAGTATGGTTGAACCAGGGTCCAACAGCGCCATTCACATGCCCATTACTGTGAATCCCAACACTGTTTGGGATTAGCGATGGGGGCAACCCAACAGCCATTGGAGGTGACGCAGTTGGGTATAGCCCGTGATTATGTGGGAGAGTATGGGGACTCACAAGAGGACTGCCCGCAGGACTTCCTTTACGCTGTTGGAGGGCATGAATATGCCTCAGCCCCTCCTCGTGAATTCGTGCCAGTGTGTCCAACTCTTTCATCGATAAAGCTTCCAGCCCAGCCCCATACAAGGGAGCATGTCGTGTCATTTCTTCTTGAAGTGAAGCCTCGAGGGTGTGAATATATTGCTGTATATAACATACAAAAAGGCCAAAATAAGCATAATCACCACATGATAAATGATGATAATGGATAAGAAAGAAGTATAAAGCTTTAAGCTAAGACAAACCTGGCATGCTTGCAATTTTGACTCCATGCCGTCAATATACGCCTCACACCGGGCAACCTGCTCTTCCTTTTCCCGCTTTTCTCCTTCGGTTTGCCCGACTGTTTGAGTTAAGCGCCGAACTTCATCCTCAAGTGACTGACGGATTTCTTCACGGGTGACATTCTCAGTTGCAAATCGTTTCAACTCTTCATCAAATCTTTTCCGAGCAGCTTCAGCACTCTTTAGCCTTTCAGCAAGAGCATTTTTCTCCTTTACAACTCTCTGTCAAATATATATTAATGTTAGATATAGCAGCCACCGACCAGTCACAAAACTAGGCACCAAATAAATGCAACGCTGGAAAGTTAGACGCATTGCTTCCATTAAGAGATCAGGTCAAACAAAATTGGAGAGGAAAATTAATGTCTCTGAATGTAATTCTAAATCTATTTTCAACACCTTCTTGTCCCAAGCAATGAGTCACCGGATATTTTAGTGGAAAATAATTTAGCACAAGATAAAAAATAAAATAAGATATTTAATCAGGCACCAGTAAAGAATCTTGACCACAACCGGCATAAAGTAGAAGAAATTGAAGAGGCAAAATAGCTTTTTAGGACCTTTTCTCATCCAACTTCTTTGTGTCTATGTAGGTTGACGCGTATAAATTTGCTTTCTCTAGTATGTATTTAAAATTTGAAGAGAGCAGAAACTCCAGAAAACAAATGCAGGAAACAATGTGGCTATATATATCTATTTCTAAATAACAGGTGAATCTATTACCTTCAACTCATCACGTTTCCGGGACTTCAATTGGGAGAGTTGTGTCTCTGCTTCATGAAGACGATCCTGGAGAGCTTTCTTATCAGCTGAGAGTTTCGCAATTTCATCATCACGCTCAGAGCGAATCCACTCAAGTTGACTCTCTACTTCCTGCATCTGCTCAGAATGTTCCTTCTTTTCCCGAGCAAACCGATCCATCTCAGCCCTCAATTCAGACTGCCATTTTATATGGTACATCAATTTTAGATGTAATCCCGAAAAAGAAATTAAAATGGAACAGCAATTCCCTGACCATATTAACAGCAAAAATCAAATATGTACCTTGAGACGATTGTTTGCAGCCTCAGATTCACTCAATTTTTGAGATAAAATAGCTTTCTCTCGTACCATATTTGAAATTTCAGCTTTTCTATCATCACGCACGCGAATAATCTCATCTTCACTCGCACATAAATGGTGCCAAAGAGCTGCCCGGTCAACATTTGCAAGTTCAGCAACCTCCCTCATCATGGTCAACACAGGTCTAATGATCTCCTGCTCATCGCATGCCAAATTACCAAATATCCAATCTAATCTATCACGACTACTATCTGTGGTGCT